CCATGCAGTATCTGAAGCACTACATGAAATCACAGAGGTGTTTTCTCCCAACCGCGTTTCATACAGGGAATGGGCAAGACCCAGGGATGTGAGAGGGTTTAGGCAGGATGGCACAGTTCCTCCACAGAACAACTGAGGAGAAGGCAGCCTGCACACTTCCCGTCAGTGCTTCCTCTGAGACACCGGGGCTGCTCCGGGGCATCTCCTTTTTAGGTTTCAGCAGTTTTCACCATAAACCAAAATAGAAAATAGTTCCAGGGTGATTGAAAGCAGTTCCCTGAGCAGAAGTGGATTCATCAAGATGCTGTTCAAGTTCAAACTGTAAGACCCCTTCAGTGCCTCCCTCTTCCAAGGCCTCCCTGTCATCACCACGGTATATTATTTTTCCCCAATACGGCCCCCAAGGTACATAAGTTCCACACTCCCGGGCAACCTGGCTGAGGTAGTTAGTTTATTGAGCCAACCTGGCCTATAAACACATGTGGGGTTAACTGAAGAGAGGAGGGATAAATGGCTCAGTGAGCCTTGCCTTTCTAGTTCTCAGGTCTCTTGCTTTGTGATGGTCAGACCAGGGTGCAGCTGCCCTAGCCAGTTCCTTCCTTTAGCTGGCAAAGCTCACTTCCTTCAAGACATCCCCAAGGAGAAGCCACATGGACCTACCCCGATGCAGCCCTTGGTGCTGTAGCAGCCGTGTGGAGACCCCTGCCAGTACTGAGATGCTTACACATTCACTGACTCAGCTTTCCTCCTGTAGTAGGTGTCATTGCGTCTGTTTTGTGAGATGGAGGAGGACTTTGTAGATTGGTGTTGGACATATGGGTTAATGGGTTAATGTTGGGCTTGTGCAGCACTGGGTAGGGATGTTTTCTTGATGAGCACTTAACGTTTATATAAAACTGTCTTATACATGAGTTTCTGTGGATTTCTTTCTCATACAGTACCCAGATTAACACACTGGCTCTGCCCCTGAGCTTCAGGGGATGGAGGAAGAAACCTCTGTCCAGTCAGAGGCAAAGACTGGGGACAGCTAATGTGCCAATCAGAACAGCTGTCATCCCTATCAGATCCCGTCTGCCTGGTAATGGTTCTCCCTTCCCTAATCCCTGGCAGGCCTCCATGAGCTACCAGTGGCGACTCCAACAGGAGTCTGGGTAGTTTCTGGTTTTGACCCTTCTCATTCCCTAAACTTGCTCCAGTACATGGAGAATTCTCCCTCCTCTCAAAAGTATTTCTCTGACATTTGGAGTCAACAAGCCCTCTTCCTTTCCAATTACTGTTATTAAGCAATTGACACTGACCTTTTTTAACTATTCAACCTAGCATATCTGGGTATAAGAGGGGAAGAGAGGAGTTCCAAAGATTATGGTATCGTTTTTGTGTGTGTGAAACAATGGATAATATCTGTTTCACTAAAGAGAACAGTTAGAAAATGTCACAGGAGCTGTGGAACAGCTTTTGTTAAGAAAACCACTCTGGATCGGTTATTGTCGTCACCTTCTCCTGAGGACTGACCGTGTGTAGTGTTGAGTTGTGCTAAGTGATGACATGCTCACAAGACCTCAGTGAACCTGACACTCATATCATTAACCTGGCAAATGAGGAAAGTGGGGTTTAAATGACAGCTGAAGTCATGCTGCTAACAAAAGGCTTTGTCCTGCCCTGGGGCACGTCCAGGCCCTTTGATGAGCTGATGAAACAAAGGGCCATTTGCTTGAGTTGCTCTATGAGAGCATGAGCTTGGTGTTGGAGCAGGGACAGGAGGACGGAGCAGACAGACAATAATAGTTCATGGTTTCCTCGACGCAGCCCATGACCTCCTTGGTGAGAGCCTTGCAAGAGCTGCACAGATGAATTCAAGGAAACTCTTGGAGGAAGCGGGCGAGAGTAGTGCTTCCTGGGTGACGAGGTCGTAGAGAACACTGACTGTGGGAGAGGGAAACATACCTTGTCTCCGCATTGGCCTCACGGCTGAGCGGCCGCTCCGGGGCTGTTGGCTGGGTGGACAAGAAGAGAAGGAAGGACTCTCTGTGGCTTCACGGACAGTGGATAGCCCCATTAGGAGGAAGATCAATGGCATGGCATGGACAGAAACCAAATTAATAGTGTCACCTGGGAGCATGTGAGACATTCCTGAGCCAGGAAGCATCAGTGGAACAGGCTCGGTGCCATCAATGCTTTATTAAAGGTAGAATTTCCTTCCTGTATGATGGGCTATGTGTCATTCAGCATAAGGGATACTTTCAACCTCTAAATAATTAACACCCCTCTTTTAGGGAGAAAGAGATAAAAGAGACAAAAGGCAAACTCCTCTGGACCCGAGTTCTCGTTCTCCTTCCAGCTCAAGGGACCCAGCCCTCAATGAAACCGGGAAATGAGAGAAGCTGGTCCGGGGTTGCCCTGCCCCCTGGCACTCCCTCTCTCTGATGTGAGTCTCACACTAACCTATCCCTGCCACCCCATTACACCTTTATCCAGAAGAGCTTCTTCTCTCCTCTCCTGCATCGAATTGGCCACACTTGGACATTATCAACATGCTTAATGTGCAGACTTCTATGTCTGTATCTAGTCTGTAGATAAAATCTCACATGTCCAAAGACATGTTTAAGGCTGTTTGCTGGCAGAACGAAGATTTAGAAACAACTTAAGTGTTCATCAAACAGGGAGCAAGTAAAAAGACTATAATGTAGCCGTGCTGTTGAATACCACCGGCCAGGTGAAAAAGAGGCTCCAAGACCTTGTTGCTAATGACAGAGGGAAACCGAGTAATAAGACATGCCTTGTGATAAACTATAAGGTTATTTTAAATTATTCTATATGTACATATGTGAATCCCTGTCTACACTCATGTATAGATGTGTGTGTTCATGCATAAGGATATGCAAATATATGCATGTGAAGATGTGTGTTTGTATGTATACAAAGGGGGAAAAGTCTTGGTTAGGGAAATGGGGGTAAAGAGAGATTTTGACTTGTGGCACTACATAATTATGTGTCATGTTCTATGTCAGCAGTTAGAAACCACTAACTGGCCCTTGAGAGAAAGACAAGGCATTCTACTCCCATGAAGAGTTAGTCTCAGAAACTCACAGGGGCAGTTCTGCCTTTGCTATAGGGTTGCTATGAGTTGACATCGACTTGATGGCAATGAGTGTGAAGGTTTGAATCCAAATATATTCACATTTCCAAGGAGCTAACACAGGTCACAACAGCAAGCTTGTATGTGCCTCGTGTTCCATCTTCCCAAGGATACTCCAAATGAAACGAGTTGGCAAGAAGGTGGGGGTGGAGTGAAGGGCACAGAGGGAGGGTCTGTTTCCACATGGGCAGCTCAGATGACTCTCACAAAGGCACAGGGAGCAGGTGGAGCTCAGCCGGTGACAGGCCAGGACTCAATGTACCACTGAGACCCTGGCAAAGTTGCTCTCCCCTACTAATAGCCTTTTCTCATCCAGAAAGCCATGCTCCTGATACTGGGTGGAGCTCTATGTTGGCATCATTACAGTTCAAGTGTGATAGAATCCGAAACAGAAGATATTTAAGAAATGAATGTTGACTGAAAGGCAACATGGATGGGTGAATTAATGTATGCAGTAACTTCTATGCACTAAAAGTATATAATCATGTAAAATTTCATTTGAAATTTTTTTAACTGGCAATTTTTGTTGGTTTATTTTTTAACTTATATGACCCCTTGCTTTTCTGATTTTGTATTACACAATGAATTATACTTAGTTTTGCTTACAGAAGTTCTCTATTCAGCTGAACTGAATGCATGCTAGATACAAGATAGCTGAAGAACTTGTTTGCTATGGCCTGCTAATGAGGTCACTAATGAAATCCATGAAAATCTCAATAAACACCTAGCAAAACCATGAATGGCTGGAGGTATTCCCCTATTGGACAAGTTAACAATTTAGTCGGCCGTGGCTCTTTGGATGCTGACAGAAGACACAGACTCTGTGCGGAGAAAAGAACTTTATTACTCAGAGTAATCACGGTAGTCAGACCACCAACAGCTCCCTAAGCCCTAATTCCTCCATGTTTTCACAGAGGAACAGGTGATAATGGCACACACAGCGTGTTGGTTACAAGAGAAGACCGATGATTTTAGGTAGCCTGAAACTTTGATCATAGGCAGTGAACATGTGGACCGCCCTTTTTTCCAGAGGAAATGTTTTTATGTTACTTGTCTTCTGATTTACTAAGGAGGAGACATTTTCCCTTCCAAAGCTGGAGGCAAACCTGCCTTTTACTATGAAGAGGTGCACCTTCTCTGTCTCTTAAGGCTCTTTGCCATCAAAACCCTCTTTAAATGATAGTCCAGGAAAAATGCCAGTCAGTGCCTCACTCACAAGGCACACCGAGACTCAAAAGACCCCACACCACCTTTCTTGTCAGTCCACCTCTCCATCCCCAAGTGGGTTTCCTTTGGATGTGCCCCAGGGTGGGATTTCTTCTTTGAAAACTGAAGGTGTTGGGATGCTGCTATACAAAAAGAAAGAGAAGCGTGGATTCTCTGGTAGGTTCCACAAGAGTTCCCAATGACCCTCATCTGTATTCATATCCTTATGTCCCCCTCGCCCTTGACGTGTGGCCTGGAACTAGTGACTTGCTTCCAATGACTGGAATACAAACAACAGATAGATCTTGGGAAGTCACTTTCCAGACTACGTTATGAAAGTGTCCTGCCACCACTCTTCTCTGTGGCTCTTTGCCTGGCCACTAATGAAGCCAGCTGCCACGTTGTGAGCTGCCCAGTGGAGTAGTCCGTGTGACGGGGAGCTGAAAGTGGCCACTGGCCAACAGCCAGGGGGGAAAGCCCTTGAATCGAGCAACACATGAGGAACTGCGTCATGCCAGCAGCCACAGGAGTGAGCTTGACAGCAGGGCCTTCTCCCTTTGGCTGGATCTGGTCAAAGAGACTAGAGGGCCTCGCTAAGCCAGGCCAGGCAAAAATTCCCGACTGACAGAAACCAGTGATTGACTTCTAGTGATTAGAATACAGAGATAAAAAATATTTTTATTTTAAGCGATTAAGTCTTGGAATAATTTTTTATAGATAATAACTTGCAATACAGATAATACTTTGCAATAGATAGCTAAAACAACGATTGTAAAAAGTAAGAGAAAAAATGACACCACAGATTCAGTAGTAAAGGATGGAGAATTCTTTCTTTTTCCTAACAGCTGAGGTTTAAAAGAAACCAAAATTGTTTTTACTTGGATGATAGTGAAAAGGCACCTATAGCCTAATGTAATTTATAGAAACATTGGCCACAGTTAAGTGGGTTGTTTTCCATATGGAAATTAAAAGAATGACAGTAATTTAAGACTAATTACCATTCTTTTTGCCTAACTACTGTAATATTTTAAGACTGCATCATTTGGACATAGGCAAGCACTGTGTGGAAGAGCAATTCTGAGTAATAATTGTGTAATGAACATTTGGGCTACAAGACAGCTAATAAAACTTTACTTCTTCAGAAACAGCAACCAACAAGGCTTTTTTTTTTTTTCTTCCTTTAAGCATACACCATGTTCTAAGGCTTAGAAACTCAGACCTTTACTGAATGAATCTCTTGACTTCTGAGAGAGAAACGGTGCTACCGACACTCTGCTCTCTCCAGATGCGCAGCTCCCTGGCTGCTGTCACTTTCTGGGGGGCAGCACTGTTCATAATGCCATGAAAAGCCAGGATTCAACCAGACTGGTTTCCATTCACCATTGGCACCGGCTCACACATTCTCCTTGTCAAATTCGCATATGAAATACATGGTGATGTGGCAAGCCACGTCGTTCCAGCCCCCGGAGGCCACCATTTCCACACAGTCCTCCTCATCGTAGGCGTTGTTGGGCTCGCCATTTCGCCACTTGCTGAAGGTCTGCATGGGGGATCGGTCAGAATAAACAAAAGTACCCTCTTTTTCCAGGTCATTGATCCCAATGAACACTCGAGCGAGGCCTGCTTGTGTGATGTAAGCGGCAATCAAGCCATTGGAGGGCTCGTCTTTGGGCATGCTCAGCGTCCCTCCTCGCCCTTGGCAGGACAGCTGGGCATCCACATACCTTTTCTCCTCCTTCACCAGCAGATAGATCTTATTATCTGTCTCTCGCACACCAGCGACAGCTGCAGGGGAGGGCAGTGCTGAAAAGTGAGCACTTGCATTTCTATAAACAAACTTAATGCACACCACATCCAAAAAATAGACAGATATCAGAGAGGGTGGATAATGTGGAAATGTCATTTAGGATACATTATCTGGGGGGAGCATAGGGGTGCGGGGAAGACAGGCAGTATGGGGAAAGGGGAAAAGCACAGAGGAGAACATACCATTTTTTATGAATTGTAACTCGGTTGTCAGTTGGGTGACCTGGTTATCCATCTCCCCAATGGCCTTCCTCAGCTGGCTGCACTCGCACGGGATCCCTGTGAACGTTATGGTCATTGTCTCATAAAAAGGAACAAAAGAAAGGGTTTTGCAAAGAAGTCGATACCTTTCCCCAGAATGTTTACATTTTATTCAAGAAAACATGCAGATCTTTGAGGTCATGATGGTGGATTTGGGACTTTATCCTAGAAGCAAGGAGAGGCGATGACTATGAGAAGTGACATAGACTTATATTCTTAACGAATCTTTCTTCTGATGGTAGTGTAAAGAATGAAGGAAGGCGCAGGAACAAGAAAGGGCAGACAGACATCACCTGAGGAATTCTTAGAGTAATTGAGGTAGTAGTGTTAATAGCTTGCATTAGAGTAGAAATGGAGAGGGAGAAAACTCGGAACTTTTTATAAAAATGTTGATGTAGAGCCCACATGATTCTATGATTGTTTTGAGTCATGAAGTAAATTGAAAGAAGTTGAAGACACCCTAGTATTTGGTTTGAGTAACTCAATGGAAGGTGGTAACATTTATGTCTAGTGGCTTGGGGAAGAGGAATATGTTGAGCTAAAACTCACTAGGAGACATGCAAATGGGGAATTTGAATTGACCAACTGTGGGGCTCTGTATGAGAGCCGGGGGCCAGAAATGGACACCAAGCTGAAGCTGGTGCAAACGGTGCTACTGGGTGAGGGTACGCTTGACTGTCTGGTCTCTTCCCAAGGACTGTTCCTGGGAATAGAGGTGCTGTTCCCAGGAAATGTCTCCCTCCTCACTGAGCCCCGTGGTATAACACTGTGTCTGTACCGAGCCCCGTGGTATGACACTGTGTCTGTATATCCTATAGAAAGTACTTGTCCTTGCCCTTTGTAAACTAAACTAAGACTAAGGAGAGGACTGGGTCCCTGAGGAAATGTGCCCCATTTCTGGGAGGAAACTGAACACCAAGCACATGGGAGAGCAAAGGGACACCACGGGACGGGAGGGGGGGCAGGCAGGGTCTCCAAGAGGTGGGTAGGTCAAGACTCCAGCCATTCCCGAGGTAGGCATGGCTTCAAGTGTTCTTTTTTAAAAAAAGAAGAAGAAAATCAAACAACTGAGGGTGGACAGGGGCAAGGGCGGGTGTCCCATTTATAGAAAACATTGTAAACATACACGGTTTATAATGCATGTGCTTCCATCTGATGTTTGCATGTCTGTCTGTCTGTCTGTCTGTCTAGTCAGTCTTAGGTCTGGATCTCAGAAGCCTTACTCTCCCATTACTCCACTGACTGCCTCACCTCTGGAACAGCTGGCAGGGCTGGGTCTGAGCCTCCACTCTGGCTCCAGAGCCATGTGGATGTGAGTATGTGCATGTATGTACATGAGACGTCTGAGAAAAATCTATCTATTGGGGCTTTATTGGGCTATATGTGTGAACACATGAGATGAGATCATTTAAAGCAGCCCCCTGCAATGCCCTACAATCATCCTGATTGAGTGGATACTGCTACACAGGTGTTCGGTAATCCAGTGAACATTCATGGCCAAGGGCACTGGGGGAGGAGTCTGTGTTTAAGAAGATGATTTCACTTCTGCCAGAGGCTAAGGGAAGAGGCTAGGCCTTGGAGAAAGCACTTGACATGTTTTTTTTATGGAACCCCAAGGCGGAGAACACAGTACACCCCGTACTATATAGCTATTTTTAACCAAGTTCCTTTTCAAGCATTGTTGACCCAAGTCCAATGCTATGAACTTTAGATTTGGTCTTCTTGAGGTGTGCTGCTATGACACAGGCCACATCAGAATGACCTGAGTCAGAAAAGGACTAAGTGAGTGACCCATTCCTTAAACCACCTGTTGCAGATGAAAGGATCTGATATACTCCTTTGGATTGAAAGCTGTAATGCCCTGGTGAGAGAAGAGAAAGAGGCCTGCTAACCCTAAGGTCATGGATTTAAAAGTTATTGGACTTTGATTCAAACCTCTTGCTCTTGAGGTTGTCCAATAATAACCAACTTAAGATGACCAAATGCTTGCCACTTTCACATTTTCTTAATTTTTTAAGACAAGTCTTAGTTCTATAGACATAGTTCTGCCATAATGAGTATTATTGAAATGTATATCTTGTATCTAACCCTCGCTGTTTTCTTAAACAGGATTCAGTCACTAAAGTTGTTAAATATGCATAAATGATCATCCCATGTATTTTAGTCTACAAAGCTTTCCAATATATGAATATTCCCCTTATCTCAATAGTATTTTAAATCCTATATTATTGACTGGTTTAATGATACTATTATTAAAATTACCAAAGGCCCCAAAGTAGCTACTTACATTCTCTCTCTAAAAGCTGATAATGCCGCCACTAAAGCATCAAAGCTATATATATCTTAGATAGGTGAATGATTTGGAGCTCACACTTAACGATAAGCCCTAACCCAAGAACAATCATTCTTATGATGTGGCCTTGCTTGATACTCACTCTCATGAAGGGATCATTGAAGGTATGGCATGGTAGAACAAAATGTGGTGAAGGAACTAGATGGCTCCCAGTTGTCAGAAAGAATAGAGTCTAGAGTCTTAAAAATGTGATTCCGGGAACCCAAGAGGCAAGAGAATTTTGGGAATGATGAGGGCAACAAATGTATAGATGTGCTTTACACAATTGATCTATGTATTGTGATGAATTGTACGAGCCCCAATAAATTGATTAATTAAATAAAAAAAATGTGTCTTTAAAAAGCAGCCACCTAAGGAAAGTGCCAGCTAAAACCCACAAGGAAGAAGCACAGCAGCCTGTGTGATCCAAGGATTGTAAATCATAAGATCCAAGATCAGAGGATGGAATTGTATTTGAGCTTAAATTCAGTTTGCAGAAAGCTACAGATGTGAGTGAAAGCCCAAATTCCATTTGCAGCAACCCCATGAGGATTAACCCTTGATTGAGTTACTTCGGGCCATTTATCAGAGATGCAAATAGCTTTGTCCTCAGACAAAGTGCATCATAAAGTGAATGAATGCAAGTATGGTTAGGTCAAAATTTAATACCATTTGTTTCTCCTTTTGACCCATTTTAAATTTATTCTAGTGTTTATTATTTTCTACTTTCTTTTGGATTGAGACTTTTTTTCTGTTTTATTATGTAACTATATCTATAGTAATCCACTTTCTAATGCCTTCTGAGATGATAGCAAAGCTATTCACATCCTTTGACTATGGTCAGAGGGAATTCACCTGAGGCTTAATATGCATGTTGAACGTGCAAATAGATTTTGGATTTCCACTGTCGTCCATAACCTTCTGCAAATCTGGTGTTCACAATTTAAACTCTGACACCATTCCTTCCTTCAAATTTGAAATATATTATTTACAATTCTTGGATCACACAGCCTGGTGTGCTTCCTCCATGTGGGCTTTGTTGACATCTCACTTAGATGGCTGCTTGTTTGAAGGCAAGCCTTGAAGACCACAAATAGTACTCTGTCTGATAGATGGGCAACATCCAGTTTCCTCACCCAATTTTGCTGTAGCACCCATATCTTCTAGGATCTCTTCATGATGGTGCATACTGAGCAGGCCTATCACATTTCCTTTTAAATAAAAAATAAATCAGCCCAGCGAATAACACTAACATGTAGTTGGTGAAGAATGGGCCAGTGATGACACTAAGGGAATGGGGAATAAGTGGTATCATAGAAACCAAGAAGGGAGCAAGTCTCAAAAAGGTAGAGGGGGGTTGGTACACAATACTAACTGCTACTAAAGGTCAAGTAAGAAGGAAACTGAATACTGCCATTTAGTTTGGCCACACAGAAGCCACTAGAACTTTTCAGCAAGAGCCATTTCAGTGGGATGGTAGGGCAGAATCCAGTAACAAAGGGGTAGACAGAGACACTGAGTAAGCCCACACTCCTGAAATCTAGATATGAAGCAGAGAACAAGTGTGAAAGTAAATTGCTTAATAGGTTCTATCCATAGTTGGGTTTTTTTTAATTCCCACCAAATGATTGAATGGGAACTCACAAATAGGGTGTGTGAAACACTAATCGAGGGGATGAACCAGTTTTGCCATTCCTCTGTGTATAAGACAGCCACCTCAGAAAAAGAATCCTGGGACAATCAAGAAAGAACCACCACCAGTAGAGTACATGTGAGATCCTGTTCTGAACCAGCAGAAGCACTAGAGGCCACAGCATTGAGACCAGCCACAAGCCTAGAGGCCACAGCGTTGAGACCAGCCACGAGCCTAGAAGGCAAAGCACCGGGCAAGTTTCCTGGCCCACAGAGGCTAAGGACCAGAGTGACATGCCTGACAATATGACTGAGAAGAGGTGCTGTGGACCAAATGACTGTATCATTACTATTTTAAAACCTGTTAGCTTCCCTTATATTTGCTCCTTCAATTTGGTCCTTACAATGAATTATCAAACCCAGAAGAGAGTGCCATGGAAGGGGTGGTTGGTGTAAGAGTAAGGTAAAAATGAATTGAGGGTAGAGGCATGTCTGACTCTGTTTTGTGACTATCCGTTATTCAGAGTCCAAAACATATCCCTCACTGCCCACACATAGGGATTTTCTTTTGCTATTTGTACATTTGAAACTTTTTGTGACTTGGAATTTTTAAAATTTGTTTCAGTAAAAATTTTACCTAATTTAAATTTTCTAAAATATATTTCATCATCCAATTCACTGAGGTTTGACATATAGAGAGGTTTTCTGGTGAGGCTTCCTCCAAATAAAAAGCCGGTGACATTATTTCCTCATTTTCCTTTTGAACTTCCTGACATAAATAGGACTGACAGATCCCCTCACCTACTAGTAATGGACTCTTATAAAAGGAGTTCCCTCTCCCTGCCATGACCTTCACCTGACACTAAGTTCTTGCAGACAGAGAGAGATCTCTAGACTTTCCCTCATTTGTTCTGACTTGCTAAGTATCTCGTGGTGGTCCCAAATGAATGATGCTCTGTCATCTCCGGTGACTAATGGGCTGATTTTTAGACAGTTTGCATTAAAAGAGACTCATAAATGAAATCCAAGGGGCAATGATAATTCCAGTGCCACC